TAAATAATGACAGCTAGTTTTGAAATGTGTAATTATCAAAATATTGAGTATTTTTTGAAAAACTAAACCAAACACCCCACAAATATTAGTAAATCTCTAATTGCTCAGAACCCCCTAGAATTCCACAATCTGAACACATGATAGCTGTCTTTTTTTTTTTTCTTTCTTTATGCTCATATGTGTCTTCTTGAATGGAATAATCTTGTTAATCCTGGAATACAGTGTTACTTTCGTAAAATTTTATTTTCCTGAATTTCAATTCGAATTATACATTGCTGGTTTTCAAGGCATTTAGATTGGAATTTTTTATCTAATTAATTTTCTAACAATTCTTATTTTTCAAAATATTTTTCCCTATGACATGCATAAATCAGGGAATAAATTTTAAATATGTATCTAAAAGCAGAAATACTATTTTAATTGTGGGAAACACTTGCTCAAATTTTAATTATTATTTTGGACGAAATTTTTCATTGTGCATATTCAATTATTACTGTATGGACTTCGAAAGTCTTAATTGATAGGATATCTATCATATTTACACAAACCCTCTGTTGTTTTGGTAGTAAGCAATACAATTTATGATTAACTCCTGTGCTCTTCACCAACTTTTTCTCAAATATTTCTTTATTAAGCTAGTTTTTCTATTCATACCTTTAGATCATGATGTTTTGCTTTGGTAAGAAGTAAATCTTGGTACAACAATCAACTTCAAAAAGGTATAGAGACAGTAGGTCATGATGCAGGAGGGGGGAACGAAACAAAAGGTTTAAGAGACCTCACCTACCTTGGGTTGAATCCTGGTTCCGCCCCTGCTCCTGATGTTCATATAATGAAAAACATGGGAACTGGTTTCTAATATTTCAGTACCATTTGAATTTGTTCAATAATTCATACATAATTTTTGACGCACTAAGAAGTTGATGACCTTAATTTAGACTAAAGATATTTGTAAACTAAGAAGTGAATTGGGAAATGCAAGATAATATTGAAGCTTAAGAAAGTAGGCTGTCAAAAGCCATTGGGAAAGCCACATTGGTGAGGCTGTAACCTCCATCGACCACAAGGTTGATCCCACTTACATACCTGGACTCATCGCCTGCCAAATATAGAGCTGTCTCTGCGACATCCTCTGGTTTCAGTATTGTTCCCTTCAAGACTGCTGATGTAGAAATCACCTCTTCCAGCTTCTCCTTCTCCTTAATGTCCATGGCTTCTGTTACCAGTGGAGTTGCCATATAAAATGGTGAAATACAATTGACTCTTATGCCATACTGTCCCAACTCAACACATAAGTTCTTAGCCAGACCCACCACCGCATGCTTTGAAGTTACATACGAGTGCCCAAGGTAACGGGCGGAAACCTGTGTGGATGCACTAGAAGTGAAGAGAATGCAACCTTTCTTGGCTGGAATCATTACTCTGGCAGCGTGCTTGGCACCCAAGAATCCACCAAACACATTGACATCAAAAACTTTCTTGAAAGTTTCATTGTCTGCATTCAAAATCCTATCATCCGTGGCTGCAATTCCAGCATTATTGAACATGATATCCAGCTTTCCGTACTTAGAAACCACCAAGTCGACTGCATTTTGGACATCAGATTCGCACGTAACATCGCAGTGAACATAGGAAACAGCTCCTTGGGTAGCAAGTTGTTGACAGAGAGATTGTCCAAGATCATCTTGGATGTCTGCAATAAGGACCTTGGCACCATGTTGGACAAATAGTCTCGTTGTGGATTCACCTATCCCACTGGCGCCACCAGTTATCAGCGCTACTTTACCTTCAAGCCTGTAATTAGTATGAAGAAACAGGACTATAAACTGGCATGAAGTTGAGACCAGAATGCTACAGAAATGATTACAACTCTTGCCTTTACTCAATTTATATCAAATTATTTTCTGAATAGCAAGTAAATTAATAGAACTGAATTC